GGAACTAATTTGGGAGTAGCACTTGACTGCAGCACCACCAGCCTTTTTAACATCACACTTCTGGCTTAGGGTGAAAAGGATATTAAAAATAAATAGATGACCATTCAGTGACGCACACCGCAAGATAAAAATAAGGAGGTGACTAAAGCCGTGCTGCAGGCACGCGCAGCGTGTCCCACCGCCACCGAAGCCGCCCCTTGTTTTGGCAAAAGCAGAGCAAAGCAGCGAGAAAGCGGCTCCCGGCTCGTTCCTTGTTACAGGGCCAAGAGGATGCTATGAACGATGGAGCAAAAAAAAATAAAAAAAAATATAAAAACTATAGAAGCATTTGCCATGTGCTTCCTCCCGCCAGTCCAGATGACTGATCACACCCAAGGAAGGTAATAGGGAGACTGAGAAAGAGATTTATTGCTTCTTTAAAATATAATTGTTCTAATTTGCTGATGGCATTTTATCAAGATTTGTCTGAAACAGTCGTAAGATCTAAACTACATCATTTAATGAAGTCAAAGATTAATACGGATAAAATTATTCTACAAGGGGAAGCTCTCAGCCAATCACAGCGGCAAAACCAGGTCGCTCCTCTGCAAAATCACTGCTCGGCTGAGCAAGATCTACCACCCAGACGCTGGAGACTCCTGCTCTAAGCCTGCCTGAATCCCCTGCCTGAAGCTCCCGCCCTCCACAGCTCTCACCACAGGTCCTCCATCCATCAACCATCCAGATCCAGAGTAACAAGCTGTGAGGGAAAAACCTGAGCCGAACGCTCAGGGCATGAGTTATTTTCTATTAACTAAGGCTGATGTTCATAGAATCATAGAAGGCTTTGGGTTGGACGGGACCTTTTGAAGAGCATCTAGTCCAACCCTCCTCCAATAAGCAGGGACACAGAATCATAGAATCCCAGATTGGAAGGGACCTCAAGGATCATCTAGTCCAACCTTTCTGGGCAAGAGCCCAGTCTAGACAAGGTGGCCCAGCACCCTGTCCAGCTGAGGCTTGAAAGTGTCCAATGTGGTGGAGTCAACCACTCCCCTGGGAAGATTATTCCAATGGTTGACTGTTCTCATGGGGAAAAATTTCCCTCTCACATCTAATCAGAATCTTCTTAGGATTAATTTGTACCTATTGCCCCTCATCTTTTCCACGGGACTCCTTGTGAAAAGGGAGTCTCCATCCTCTTTGTAGCCACTGGTACATGGTGATGAGATCCCCTCTGAGACTCCTTTTCCCTAGGCTGAACAAACCCAGCTCTCTCAGCCCACCCCCATACAGCTGAGAGAGATTTCCCAGTCCTTGAATCACCTTGGTGGCCCTGCTCTGGACCCCCTCCAGCCTGTCCACATCTTTTTTGTAGAGCGGGGACCAGAACTGTACACAGGATTCCAGATGTGGCCTGACCAGCGCTGAGCAGAGTGGGATGATGACTTCTTTATCTCTGCTGGTGATGCCCTTGGTGATGCCCCCCGCACCCTGTTGCCCTTCCTGGCTGCAGCAGCATGCTGCTCACTCCTATGGAGCTTGTTGGCCACCAGGACCCCCAGGTCCCTTCCCACAGAGCTGCTTCCCAGCCAGATGGATCCCAGGCTGTGCTGCACTCCTGGATTATGTTTTCCCAGGTGCAAGACCTTACACTTGTTCGTGTTGAACTTCATAAGGCTCTTGTTAGCCCACTCCTCTCCCAGCCTATCCAGATCTTCCTGCAGGGTGGCTCTCCCTGCCGGAGTGTCTCCTTCCCCACTCAATTTGGTGTCATCTGCAAACTTCATCAGGCTAGAACTTCAATGAGATCGGGTTGCTCAAAGCCCCATCCAACCTGACCTTGAACGTTTCCAAGGATGGGGCATCTACAACCTCTCTGGGCAACCAAGTTAGTAATTTAGTACAGCATTGGATTAAACACACGTATCTGCACGTCATCAAGGGGCAGTGGATTAAATGTGACACAGCTATGAGAAGCCTCGCTCTCCCCCTCTTACCACTGATGCCTGAAAGAGTTTCACGAGTCAGGCTCAACGGGATAATAGTTGATAATGCCACGTCACAGTACGGCACGACGACGCTCGCTATGAAAAGCATCAAGGGGCAAAAACATCATTAGGCTTCACTGGCTGGGAAAGCCATTGCAGAACCAAATCCACCAACAGACAGCAGGTACAAGATGCAAATTCCCTTTCCAAGAATAAAACTGGGGCAATTACAGAGCCGGGTGAGCCTTGCCCAGCTTACATTTTCTCTTTCAGGATCCCAGCTGAGGTGCATTAACAGCAGAGAGACGTGAAAGAGGCAGTTTTGCACAGATCTGTCGCAGAACATTTCACCGTCACAAAAACCAGCAACAAAAATCAACGTTTTCTCCGATAAACAGGCAGGATTTACAGCGAGGTCAGTGACGGAGGAAGAAGGGTCATTTGAATGGGGTTGCCTATACCAGGAACAGAAAGCAGCAGCTGTTTCCACCTAAATAAAAGAAGGATTTGCTCAAAATGGCTGGTTCAGGGCCAAAAAAAGCAGCAAACTGAGCTGGGGATGGGAAAGGGCAAGAAGCTCGTGTATGCGGATGTAAATGCACTCGTTAGGGGCAATTTGAGTAGCACATCAGTGATTTGGCTACAGGAGTGACCAGAACCAGAGTCAGTGTTACACCAACACCGCAGGACGAAACAGGAGATTAAAAGCCACGAGAAACAAATCTTCATTTGCACACAAAATACCATGTGCCGTAATTACCAGCAGCAAATGATGAACCTCTAAGAAGCGATACAATTTAAGATTTTACTGTCACATCCTCGCACGTTCCCGATGCAAAAGCTGCACTTGGAAAAATTAATATGAATATTTCTAAAAAGCTGTTTTTGGGGGGCCAAAGAAAAAACCCAACGATGACTTATTTGATAATTGGGCTTTCTATCGTAGCCTGAGAGAGGTGAGCAAGCAAGAACTCTCACCGGCAGGTAAGAGGCACACACATGCCGCCTCAATTCAGCGAAAACGTAGGATGAGGGAGCGAGAAAAAGAACACGTGGTTGGTTTGTGGCAAGGGAAATAGAATCATGGAATCATAGAATCGTTTAGGTTAGAAAAGACCTTGAAGATCACCAAGCCCAACCGTTCCCCTAACCCTGCCATCCCACCCCCAAACCCTGGCCCTCAGCACATCTTCTGCCCGGCTTTTAAAGACCTCCAGGGGTGGGGACTCGACCCCCTCCCTGGGCAGCCCCTTCCAGTGCCTGACAGCCCTTGCAGGGAAGGAATTTCTCCTAATGTCCAACCTAAACCTGCCCTGGTGCAACTTCAGCCCATTTCCCCTCAATGTTATGTAATAAGCTGGCTCCAAGGACATGCAAATGGAGGTGGCACCTACAAAGAGAGCAGTAATTGCACCGGAGGAGGCAAACCAGCTGCTTTGAGGGGGAATAAGAGGAGATATATGGATCTCCGGACTGGATAAAAGTGGGCATGGTGTGCAGGTGAGAAGATATCAAAGGCAAAAGTAGAAGGGGAAGAAAAAGGAGGAAGTGGTGCAGGTAAGATCAACGGCAGAAAATTTGGCTGGAAATCAGCTGTTAACCCAAAAGGATCCCACAGATCCCATACGAGAAGAAGCACTTTGGAACTGAGGCCGGTACAGTACACGAGATGAGGAATTTCTCAACTAAAAGCTTGAAAAACCAAGACAGAATCATAGACCTAATTTTACATTTTAAAATCCAGTTTGAAAATAAACACCTTTTTTCTTTAAAATCTCCCTGTTTACCTGGTACTTTGCCTCATCACCCTGAAGTCTTCCAAAACCAACCCTCCCCTCAGGTACCAATATTTGTCAAACTCAAAGCCAAATTCGCGTAGCGCAGGGAAAAGTCAGGTGAAGTCAGGCTTTAAAAAAAATCACTGCAATTTTTGTCTCTCCCCAGCACCCATCATAAACCACATCAACCGTTGGGGCATTGCCGGGGGAAATAACTTTTTGAAGAAACCACCCGGAATAGGGTGTTGATGCCGACCCATGTCGCTGCTCCGGCAGAGGAGCCGATGGTGGAGAATGGCCCGCAGCATCCCCCAGCTCCTCAGGTTTGCTACGCTGGAATGAACAAGCCCATTACGGAGCAGAGCCCAAACTATCGCCCGTGACAGTGGCAAAGCAGCATTGCAGGGGGAGGAGGAGGAGTCATCCTCAACCTAAGAATAGCCTGAATCTGGATTATAACCAAAACCATCAGTTCTAATAGCGCCTTTTTTTAGAGGATCAATTACTGTAACGACCTTTCTGCTTATACACAACTTCCAGACTTGGTCTTGGCCTCTGAGATGTCCCCGGGTAACATCTCCACCAGCTAACGCAGCTGAAATGCTAGCACGTTAGCACAGCAGACTCAGCCTCAAGGGTGCAGAACCATCCTTTGGTGATGTTCTTCTTCAGGCGGGTGCTGGCACACTGAATTATTTGCTACGGGACTGGGCTGATGCTCATCCAAGATAACCCGGGAACAAGCAAGTTTGTGCCTGCACCTACCTCCTGGTGTAGGTTTGGGCATCCGCTTCCACCACGCTTTCAATAAGCTCCTCCGTAGCACCAACTTACGCAATAACGTGATAAAGCAGAGGGAAGGTCTGGCCTCATTAGCAGGCTTGACCATCCCTAATTAACAGGCCATGTCTATCTCCAAAAGAAGCAGCAAGTTTATTTAGGTCTGATGTAAAAACCCGTGTGCGTTTATTCATCTTCCTTACAGCTTATTTAACTGCTTCAAGGAAACAATTCATTCAAACAGGGAATGAGTACGAATGCACTGACTGCAGCAAGCTGTTGGCCACCGACTCGGGCTAACGTGATTACTAATACGATTTTACACTTTAAGTCAATAAACTCTGCATAGACGTGGCTAAACAAATAGAGAAATTAAGCGACCAACATGCAAGGGTAATAACACGGAGCCAACGTGGGAGCTCCCTCGGCTCCCACATCCCAACCAGCTGCGTTCAAGGGATGGAAGAATTACCTGGACGTCACGGGGCGCCTCGTCTTCCAGTTGGGAACGGGGCTGCTGAAGGATGATAAAGCTGGAGACACCACATTCTTCTTCACTATCCTGTAGCGCGTCTTTATCACCTTGTTGGCTGGGGGGCTCCTGACAAAGTGCAAGCTGGTTCCTGCAAGAAAGCAAATGGAAAAAAAGGTTTTGAATTCAGGCGTGCATGGGACAGAAGGGACCTCACCAACACAGGTCCTACAGCCAACTCTTTTGCACCTATACAAGGGGCAGAAGACCCCTGAGGTGCATCAGGCGTGGGACCACCATGGTTGATGGCAACAGAAAGGCTCTGATGGGCTTGGGGGTGGTTTAGCTTCACCAGCCCAGCAGCAAAACTCTACCAGGCGAATCAGGCATTCACCAACAATACCTTGCTCCCCAACACCGACATCGGAAACGGATTTACGCTTTTAATCATTCCTGTTTTCATCGTATTTCGCAGGATGATCTACACGCCGGTTTATTCTGCTGAATGTTTCATGCAATTAACAGTTATATGTTTGACTCTGGTTTTCCTTCACTTGATAGCTAGCAATTTTTTTCGCGGCTTTAAGGAATGCATCTAATTGCCCGACTTTTATAACATACAGCTATAACTGCCCAGATAATTAAAGCTGACACTACATGCTGAGACTAAGTCTTCTGGTTTTATAACTGATTTAAAGGGACGGCTGTTTTTCTTGGAGATACTCTAATTAAAATTATTGCGAGGTTGAGAGGGGAAAAGCCGAATCATTATTTCCCCTGAAAATGTTGTACCCGTCCCCGTGTTTGCCTTTGCAAGAGAAGGGAAAATAAGGTTGCTGCCCAAGTAAACTGGGAATCTCAGGATGCGGGAGCTGTGTTCAAATAAGAAAACCAGGGAAATGCATTTTAGAGACGATCTCGTTCCCTAGAGCGGAGGGAGCAGCTTCCCTGTCTCCCCGCAGCAGTGGTAACTGTGAACTATGATTAATATGGAGAATATTTTCCTTCTTCTGTGTTCCCAAGCCAGCCAGTGTCACACATTGGGTTCGGGAGGGATCAAGTGGAAATGGTCTGAAGTTGCGCCAGGGCAGGGTTAGGTTGGACATTAGGAAATATTTCTTCCCCTTGGGGCTGTCAGGCACTGGAAGGGGCTGCCCAGGGAAGGGGTCGAGTCCCCAGCCCCGGGGGGATTTAACAGCCGGGCAGAGGCGGTGCTGAGGGCCAGGGTTTGGGGGTGGGATGGCAGGGGTAGGGGAACGGTTGGGCTTGATGATCTTAAAGGGCTTTTCCAACCTAAACAATTCTATAATTCTAAGTAGCCAGCAACATAAATTTCCACTCCCAAACTCAGCCAGACAGTTACAACTTCTGCTGGGGGCAGAGAGGAGAAAAGCAGGCTCTGCCACGACAGAAAAATCACTGGCATTTTTGATAATAAAGCTGATGATCGCAACGCTCCTCAGTACTAGACTGCAAGATAAATGATCACCAAGCAAGGAGTGTACGGAGGGATTCACAGCCTTCAACCCCACCTATAAAGCCCCGAGCACGCCCACAACACCACGCAAATAATCTCTTTTATATGGCTGCAATAAAATTCGGGAGGCGGTTGGGCCAGCTCTAGCTTGACATTGAGCTTGCCCACGCCGCAGCATATGGGACCTCCAACCCCTCTCTGCACCGTGCATGAAGCCAGACCCTCACACCAATGTGTTATTTTAGGAGAGACTCTTTTACATCCCTCCAACTCCTATGCGGGACCTCTGCTTAATTAATGCACCAAAATAAAGCCTGCATGCAAATTATTTTCAGCAGCGTTGCAGTAAGCAGCACACTTTTGATGATGCTTTCAAGACTGGCACGCTGGTGTTAACCAACGAGCACCCATAAAACCAGCAGTGCTATAAAGTACTCTCCAAGCAAGGGTGCGTTAAGTCAACCAGTAAATGTTGAACAAACTGAAAAGCCAGGAAGTTAACACCAGTAACTTCAAGAACTTCTAGTGATTTGGAATAAAAATTAAAAATACAAGAAATCAAAATACAACCAGATGTTTTGCAGGCCCGTGTGAATCTCATGAAGTTCAACGAGGCCAAGTGCAAGGTCCTGCACCTGGATCGGGGCAATCATAGAATCATAGAACATTTTGGGTTGGAAGGGACCCCTAGAGGTCACCCAGCCCAACCCCCCTGCAGGGAACAGGGACACCCTGAACCACATCAGGTTGCTCACAGCGCCATCCAACCTGGTCTTGAATGTTCCCAGGGATGGGGCCTCCACCCCCTCTCTGGGTGTTTTACTACCCTCATTGTAAAGAATTTCTTCCTTATATATAGTCTAATGCCCAGTATCAATACAGACTGAGGGATGAAGGGATCAAGAGCAGCCTTGCGGAGAGGGACTTGGGGATACTGGTGGGTGAAAACAGGCCATGAGCCGGCCATGTACGCTGGCAGCCCAGAAAGACAACCCTATCCCGGGCTGCATCCCCAGCAGCGGGGCCAGCAGGGCAAGGGGGGGGATTCTGCCCCTCTGCTCCGCTGGCCTGAGACCCCCCTGGAGCCCTGCGTCCAGCTCGGGGGTCCCCAGCCCAGGACAGACAGGGACCTGTTGGAGCGGGGCCAGAGGAGGCCACGGGAATGGTCTGAGGGCTGGGACAGCTCTGCTACGGAGAGAGGCTGAGAGGGTTGGGGTGGTTCAGCCTGGAGAAGAGAAGGCTCTGGGGAGACCTTCCTCAGGCCTTTCAATATATTAAGGGGGCTGATAAGAAAGATGGAGGCTTTTTATCAAGGTCTGTAGTGACAGACGAGGGGCAACAGTTTTAAACTCAAAGAGGGTAGGGTTAGATTGGACATAAGGAAGACATTTTTGACGCTGAGGGTGGTGAGACACCAGACCATGTTGTCCAGAGAAGTTGTGGATGCCCCATCCCTGGACATGTTCAAGGTCAGGTTGGGGCTTTGAGCAACCTGCTCTAGTGGGAGATGTCCCTGCCCATGGCAGGGGGGTTGGACTGGATGCCCTTCAAAGGTCCCTTCCAACCCAACCCATTCAATGATTCAATGACCAAAGGAATTGCAGACACCCATCACTTTAGAGGTGAGGCAAGAAGAGAGAGGAAAGACGACAGAAAGCAAACGGGTTTTCACTGCTGTTTCCTGTCCTGAGACTTTTTGTATCCGACTAAATTCTACAGGGCAGCGACTGCACCATGGCATGGGTTTTTTAATCCCTTTGCAAGGTTTAAGCTCTAATTACAATTCTAATTGCTCGCGAACATTGGCAAAGTTGGAGCGTCTTGCTTCAGAGAACTGTATTCCGGCTTGCAAAACAGGAACAACAAAAGGACAGACAGGGAGACCCCTCCATGGCCCAAGGCTGCACACATATGCTGACATCCCAGCTACGGTGAGGGTCACCCATGACCCATGGATGCATCCAGCCTCTCATGAATAGAGCATCAAGCACATACCCAAAGCTACTCTTCCGCACCAGGGAAGGGATGAGAGCCGCCAACCCGCACACTCCCCGAACAGCGACAGCACGAGTTGACCCCTTCCCTCCGCCGCTCCGACCTTACAAAATTATTAAGCTGGGAATTTATTGAATACATTATTAACATTTTTTTTTTTTTTTTCTTTTTGCTCCTACGCAAGCTCTAGCTGCCACTAATCAACCCGGAACCTCATCAAACTCCTGCCTGACATCGTCCCCCGCCTCACGCTCGCACAAGAAATAGAGGTCCCAAATTGTGGCGGCTTGCAGGCGTCCGTGTCCCCCCCCTCCCCACCGCCTCCTTGTGCAGACGGGCTGGCACCTGGTAAACTCTATTCCCCGGTGGTAATTGGATGGTGTATTCATGCCGGAGCTGCTCTTCTGAAAGTGCCTGCGCGCGCGGCTCCGGCATTAACCACCTCCTGAAAGAGACTCTCCGAAGAGCTCAGTTTTCTATTATTACTTGCTAGCTGAGGGGTTTTGTGTAGATAATCATGTTATTTAGATAGGATGTTGGTTTAATTCCCTTCATTACAGGCTCCCAGGGTTGTAATTTTTTTTCTCCGCATGATGTATTCCCCGTGGCACATTTCACTCAAATCAAACACTTTACGCTTTTATTACAAACAATACCCCAGCGTCCCCCGTTATCAGCCCAGCGCACACATGCACACTCCTCGCAGAGATCCAGAGGTCAGTTCTAATGACTAATCGATCTCATTAGCTTTCCTAATTAAAAACTTTACTACCGCAATGGAAGACAAACTACAAAAAAACTGCTTGCATCATATTTGAATGGGATATGAGCATCATTTATCAGCCAGGGCTCACAGCCCGCGCACATCGCAACGGGCCGCGCGCTGCTGAGGTTGGTGCTTTATTCGCAGCCACGCGTCCCCCGGGGCACCGCTCACACCTACCACGCCCGTGGAAAAAATCCGGGTGCAAACTCCAACGCTAACCTTGAGGTGGGTGATTGCTGCTGTGGTGGGTTTGAGCCTGGCTGGACACCAGGGACCCACCAAAGCTGCTCTGTCACTCCCCTCTAACCAGACAGAGGAGTTAAAAGTAAATCAAAAGGCTCGTGGGTCGAGATAAGGACAGGGAGAGATCATTTTATCAGTTACCATCACGGGCAAAACAGACTCAACTTGAAAATAATTAATTTTTTATCAATCAAAATCAGAGAAGGAGAGGAGAAAAACTGCTAGATCTTAAAAACCTTCCCCCCACCCCTCCCTTCTTCCTGGGCTCAACTTCACTCCCAGTTTCTCTACCTACTCCCCCCCAGCGGCGCAGGGGGATGGGACCAAAAGGGCTGTCAGGCTCTGGAATGGGCTGCCCAGGGAGGTGGTCGAGTCCTCATCCCTGGAGGTATTTAAAAGAAGGATAGATGAGGTGCTGAGGGACATGGTTTAGTGGTGGGATGGCAGGGTTAGGTTAAAGGTTGGATGCGATGATCTCAAAGGTCTTTTCCAACCAAAGTGATTCTATGATTCTATGATTCTATGATTCTATGATTCTATGATTCTATGAATGGGGCTTGGGGTCAGTTCATCACACGTTGTCTCTGCTGCTTCTTCATCCTAGGGAGAGGACTCTTCCCCTGCTCATGCGTCGGGTCCCTCTCACGGGAGACAGTCCTCCACGAACTTC